CGAACAACAAAAGTATGAACAACAAATCAAAATCCTTAAAAATCGTACCGAAATAGCCTAAGAAGAAAAATCGTACCGAAATTGCGTCGTCGAACCTTCCTGGGGCTTCGTCGGAGATGATAGAGCGAGATTGGAGCCGACGGAAGAGCGAGACTGGAGCCGACGGAAGAGCGAGATTGGAGGCGACGGAAGAGAATCGGATCCGTCGTCTGAGATTCTCGTCGAAGAGAAGAGAAAGCCCTAAGAAATGTGTTTTTTTTTTTTGGAAGCTTTTTTTGTTAAACACAAAACAAGGGCAGTGTGGACATTTCTCTCTTTAATGAAGGTTCTATTTGTGACTTTTCCCTTCTGAGGCTCTTTTTGTGATAAAAACTTGAAATGGGCTATTTTGGTCAATTGCCCTAATTACATAGTTTTGACTCCTAATTTTTTAGTTAACCATCTTATATAGTACGGATGGCCCGGGCTACGCCCGGGTTTTTAGTTAATATTTTAATTATATACTAGATCTTGACTCGCGCAACCGCGCTGGTGTTCCTTTTCATTTTTGTAAACATATATATTTATTTCATTTCATTAGTGGTATACAATTTTAACGTTAACCATTTATTTAAATGTTGATATACCTATTTAAAATATAATAATTTTATAGTTTACCTGGTGTAATTAATCGATAGTTTAAAACCATCACATGTAAACTGTCGTTTTTATTTTATATTTCTGATAAATTATTTTGATTTAGTGATTAAAAATTAATATATACATGAAACAAAATATTTGAAAATTATTTGTATCCAAGTTATATTCAATTTTGATCCGCCAACTTTCAAAGTCATATTTTCTTTTAGCAATATTTTTTCATGTTTATTCATTTAAAAAAAAAATTATTTACATATACAACAGTCTAAGATGTGTCAATTTTTGTACATGTATCATATAGTTTGCGAATATTAAATCGTTATATCATTGTATCATATTTTTAGCATAAATATTTATATTTATGCAAATAAAATTATAAATTTATAAATTTAATATAATTTATCATATCTGATTCAATATAATAATTTTATTATGAATTATTATTATAAAATAGATAAAAAATAATATATTTTTATGTTTCATTTTATAATAGATATTAATGCATAATAATAGTTCATCGCTAATTACAAAATTAGTTAAAATATTTTCATAAAATTAGTTAGGATATTGTTAAAATATTTCTCAAAATATTTGTTAGAATTATATATATATATATATTAAAATGAAAAGATATTAACAGAAGTGTATTAACAGAAGTCACAAACAAATAACCTTTACAACTTTAGAACTATACGTCAAGGTTTTAGTTTAAGAAGTGTTTGTGCATAATTTAGATTTACGGTTGAGCATCTATTATACACGAAGATGTATTGGTTGAGCATCTATTATACATGAAGATGTATTGGTTTGATCATTAAGTTAGAATATTTAAGGAATCGTATATTGGTTTGTAAACTGGAAATTTTGGCGTGTATAGGAAATACTCCCTCTGTTTCGAAATAATTGTCATTTTAGAGAAATCAGGTGTAATAGTAAAATAAAACAAATAACAATACCACGAACCGTATATATAACGCTCGATGTGAATGTCACTCACGATACCTCTAAACATTCCCAACCACAAGACAACACAACACAATCAGTAACGGCGGTTACAGACTTTATTTGATTTTCACTTATTACTTTTACTCTATTTAGGCATACGAAGAGATAACATCATCAACCATCCACATATCCACTGACTCGTCGAGCTGATTCGGTAGCTCCGACGTTATACCGTCCAGCTCAAGGAAAGACTCCAAGCTCGATATCTGCTGCTTAAGATCGTAATCAGGCTCAAACCTGTACCCAGTGCACTCCACCGGGAAACTCGGCTGAGTTAACTCGCCCTGAGAGAGTACACAAAGCCTCTTCGCCGGAGGCTGATCGTCTGATACTGGAGGTGGTGTCAGCGGAGGAGGAATAATATCAGGGAAGTTGAGCTTGGCTTTATCGCCGCGGATACGCTTAGCCGCTACGTCATAAGCCATGGCGGCTTCCTCAGCCGTGTTGAAGGTACCGAGCCAGACTCTGGTGCCTTTTCTTGGATCTCGTATCTCTGAAGCCCATTTTCCCCATGGACGCTTACGTATCCCTCTGTAAATGTTCTTCCTCGTCCTCTGTTTATCCGTCGCTGGCTCTCTCTCCTTCTCCACCGCCTCCGCTTTCAACGCCATTTCTATAGTTTAAAGGTGCAAAATTACAGCAAAGTTCCACAATAAACTAAATAATTCTTTCGAATAATCTTTCTTTTCATCATTATTCATGCAAATTCTATAAATTTTGATTTTACAAAAAAAAACTTCTATAAATTTTGTTTTTCCTTTTTCAATTTACTAAATACTCTTACATTATTCCAACTATTTATCTTTAAAATTTTCATATTCTAAAAGGATTTTTTTTGCATGAATAATTTTATAAATATTACCTTTTTTTAAAAAAAAGGGCTTAATATTTTTTTGAAAAAGGGTTTAATATTACCTTGTTGGTTGGTGGATTGGAGCTTGGAAGTGGAATGGAAACCCCAGAAATCATCGCCGGCGGAAGCATCAAGCTCAGACCAGAGTTCCTCCGCCGTGAGTTTTCTACCCTTGGCCTTGGTGAGGATAGGAACAAAATCTGAAATTATAGCACCGCCACACATTTTCTCTGTTTGTTTTCTTTTTTTTCTGGTACTGGTTTCAAGAGAGATCAGTTAGGTAGAGGTGAAACGCTTTTGTAGGCGAAATGATGTATAGTATGTTGACAAAATAGAAGATAAGAAAGCTTTTACGAGTATACGTCGGTGATAAAATCTATAAGAATTATACTTGTAGTTACACTGACACATGTTACTTGATACACGACGGTTACAAAATTTAATCCAAAGAACGACAAAACTAGAAGCTTTGTTTTACTATCAGAAGAAAAACGTATGGGAATGTCATTAATTTATTAATCTGAATTTGGAGTGTTGCCTCCACGAGCGTCGGGTAATGAATGTTTCCTAAGAGCTAGAGGTAGGCACAGATCGGATATTCGGGTTTTCAAAGGCATTTGTGATTTGCTTCGTATGTTATTGATATCTGATTTTGGTATTTGTTTTGCGTCGGAAAAATACGGATATCCAGAAAAACGGATATCCAGAAAATAAATAGATATTTGCGGATATTTATGAATACTTACGAATATCTCATCCGTTACAAATAATCTTAAAAATTTGATATAAATTTATTTTTAAAATATTTTTTACATGATATATAAAATATAAAATAAAGAAGTACTGAATTTACATATTTTATAATTTTTTAAGTTTAAGTTAGTAACTATAATAACACAAAACTTAAGATTTTTTTTTTAATTTTCATAATTTTTCTCTTATTTTTATCTAATACTCTTATATAAGTAATAATGTGAATATAGTTAGTCAAATCATAAGCTATAATAATAATGTATATAACGAATCGAATCAAATTTAACGAACAAAATGCTCAGCCCTACTAAGAGCATCTCTAATGGTGGTAGAGCATCTCCAACGGCGTTACCCATTGGAGTCCTTAAGAAAAATGGTATTTCGGATTTGGTAAGAATATTTCGGATTTTTTTTTTAAAGAATAAAAAAAGATGACGATTCGCGGGTTGGCACGTGTCCTGGGGACCCGCAAATAGTGTAAGGATTCCCTAAGAAACATTCATTATTTAGGGATTTTAAAGATCGAATCCTTATTTTTTTTGTGGGGTCTACTAATTATTTAATTATTTTTTTCCTAATTACTCCTCCTTAAAGACTCTCATTGGAGGTGCTCTTACCACCATTAGAATCCTTAGCCTTATTTATTTATTTTTGTTTAAATAGTTAAGAATTTTAATCAAAGATGTGTTGTCCAATGGTCTTACCCAATTAAGAGTCTTTAGAAATTAAAAAAAAAAATTATAAAACTTGTGAAAATTTTGTTTGTAGAAGAGAAATAATGGAAACACCTTAAAATGCAAGTATGCAACAAACATATGGACTTATTAATAACTATCAGATAACAAGAGTGTTGCTAATGATTAAGTGATCGACTCTAATGTCATAGTCTATACAGATGAATTAACACATAGAGAACAAAAAACACACACACACACATTAGATAATGCATGCTCAGAGAGGTATGTGAGGAGGAAACGTACGCGAGTATAAGAGTTTCTTGTTAAAAACATCCCAAGATCCCTCAGCGCAGCGGTCAAAAATTTCTAAAACAGAAAGGTAGTATTGTTCTGAATTATGTTTCTACCTAATAACAAATAAGAGTGGGAGTTTGCAGATATGAGTCTACCTTCAAGGGTGAGAGAAGCATTCTTGTAAACCAACATTACCATGTAACTCTCGGGATCCACGGGATTAGGAAACACATGTCCCTCAAGATTGGGTTGATGTTCTTTGGTAATCCCAAATACTTGTATTCGACATGTAAAAATGGTAAGGATACAAGTCTGTTTCTGGAATAACAAGAAATCTCAACAGGAATCATGAACCTTGCCGTGTCACTGGTCCCAAGACTTATAGCAAGATCTCAAGGAGTACTAAGAGTTAGACCTGCACAACATGGTATGACCTCATATTCCATATACAAACACACACAAAAAAAAACTAATTGTTGCACATGCTACTCAAAAAAGTCTGTTTTTGAATCTGTACCTACCAAGAAACTCCTCCACGCTCCCCGGTTCTCCAAACCAGCCACGACGGTCTGCAATCAAATGCAGATTATCACACCCTTCACATCGCACTGCCGCAACTCCCTTCTCGTATGATTCCTTCCTCACCATTTTCATTGATCTCGTCTCACAGACCTTCCAGGTAAAGACCATCATGAAGTCATGCCTTGGGTTTATTTTCAACTGGGACTTGTACTTCACAATCAGTTCCTCAGAGGAAGTGGCAGGAGAGGTGGAGGGAGCTTTTGTAAGTTCAGCTGCAGAGTGTGAAGAGTTACAGCAGCCATTGGTTACTACAGCTTTACTAAAGTTCCTCTGTAACAATCTTCCATATGTATAGTCTGCTCAAGATTGACTTTGATTGCGCATGCTTACCTGTAAATATCATTTTCAAAATTGAAAGAACCATTATTACTAAAACAGTCAGTACCACAACATGCAATCACAAGAACCTCCAAGGATACTATTGTCTGCACCAAATAATAGATCTTATATCTCAAACTCATAATGAAAACATCGTCATATAAGAGATCTCATCTCACATCAAGAGAAGAATGAATAAACAGAGATGCAAACAATGTTTAGATCACAGATGAAAGTCTTTTGAAAACTAACTTAAGTCTAAACACATGCCTAGCACGTCTCTTAGCTAGGACAAAACAAAAACAGACTCAACAAACTTAATCAGTGTCTGGATAAAACACCAATGTTTTTGATATGTTCCAAATTCCAACACAAAAAACTCAAAAAGTGCATTCATAACTTCAGTTCCGTCGACCTTCTCTAACTCAAATAGCTAACAAAAGCAAAAGACGAAATAAGATGTTAAACATGTGACTACGAGTACCATGATCATCACTAACAAGGCTCCTGAAAAACAAACCAACACCAAAACCTCACGTAGTAGTACAAATCTCTTTCAAGTGCAATATCAATCAAACCCCCCGAGACCCTATTTTTCAGAGACAATTATGATTATATATCTTCTATACAAATCTCTGCTCACCACTGCGATAGAACTAACTCCATAGGACATAAAAAAACCACAACTTTTCATGACTCTCATCTAAATTCACCCCCAAAAGAACATTTAAGACAAGTACAAATTAGAATTCACCCCCAAATCGATTTCAAATGAAAATCTCAACCAAAAACATAAGAGGAAAACAACATGCAAATGATTCTAATTCAATAAATCAACCAAAGGAACCTTTGATTTACCTTGTAAATCTGAAGAGAGGAACACATATTATATAATATTATTATGTTTGAAAAATATTTACTACACATATTGTAAATATGTGATTATTATAATATATACCAATTTACAAGTGAAAACAAAATGTTTATATAATTAACTATAAACGAAAACAAACATCCGCGCGGTTGCGGATGTTTGTTTTCGTTTATAGTTAATTATATAAACAAAAAAGAAGAGAAATCTAAGCTCACCAAAAATGAGTTAAGGTCTGGAGAAACTCGAGAAAATTTAGAAAAAAAAATATTTTACTTGAATTTTGTTGTCAAGTTACCTTTTTTGGAAATAGTATGTAGCTGGTTTATGGGATATTGTTAAACTCCCATTTATGTCACTCAATTAAGCTCAATTCATGAGTTGATCACTTGGTATAATCAATTAACTCCTCTACAAATTAGCTTTTAATGTGTAAAACTAAGGGTAGTCAAATTATAAACAATAGATACACAATGACTGAATTATAAACACATTTTATCATTATAATATTTTTATGGACGATTCTCTGAAATAACCATTTATAAGTTTTTGTCACAAAAATAACCTTAAAAATAAAATGACTAAAATAGTCTATTTTTATATTGAAAATTTTAATATTTATTTATTTAGATTTAAAACTCTGAACCCAAACCCCCACACTTTAACTATCAACTAAGTTTAGATTAGTTAATCAAGAGATATAAATGTATATTTACCCTTTAATAAAAACTATTTTGGTCATTTTCTTCTTTGAATGTTATTTTTGTGAAAATAAACTAAAAAAATATATCCAGAAAAATTTCTCTTTTTATATACAATAGAAATTTTGTAAATTAATATTCGATACATTAATAAATTTACCAATTTTGAACTGGAACTTATATAAATTGATAAAATAATAAAATAATAGATTTTTTAATAGATAAATACATATTCCTATTAAAATCATTAATAATAAACTTGATCACGTGAAAAACTATATGATATGAATACTATGCTATATTGGTGTTTCAGAAAAACAAAAAGAATACTATACTATATATTTGATTAATAAACATGAGCCGAAGATAGAGAGATCTTACACGGGAAAAGCCCAACAAATGAATTAGCCCCAACAACATTTGGCCTTTTATGAAAAGCGGGAAAATGTCGAGAAGTCAAAAATCCCAAACAATCTCACAGATTGGTTCCTTACTACCTTCAACTTCAGTAAAATCACTTGTCAATTCTCGTCTTGGATCCTTACGTCTCTTCGCCTCCCAATTTTTATTTTCTCAAAATTCAATTTGAAACTCTCTTGATTGGCGCGGAAGTTCTTTCTTCTAGTGAAGATCCCCAATTCGCAACTTTTAGGGTTTCTGGGGGGGGTTTTACGATTAAGGTTATGAATCATCCGATCTCTCCCTACAGAAGCTTAATTTACAGTAAATGACGAGTCACGGCGGAGAGAGGATTCATAGGGTACAGCCGGAGAGGGATTTGGTGGCGAATTGGGAAGTTGATTTGTCGGAGAAGCTAGAAGAGTACCTTCTCAAGATATGTTCCGGAGAAATCACTGGAAACGAAGAAGAAAATGGGCAGCAGGTTCCTGTGAATTTCGCTGAAGGTGATTTGATTTTGAAGTTTATTATGATTTGAATTTTAGGGTTTTCGATTAAAAAAGAAAAAGATTGGGGTTTTGAAATTGTGTTGTGGTGGGTTTGTAGCTGCGTTGTTGCTTCAGGGTTCGGTTCAGGTTTACAGCAAGAAAGTTGAGTACTTGTATAATTTGGTCTTACGTACTTTGGAGTTCCTATCCAAGCAAAGGTTTGTCTTTTTTTTTTTTCCAGAGTTTTTTTTTTTTTTTTTTATTTACCAAATTTATATAGTTAGCCAATCGAACAAGATAAAAGATCAAACATTTCAGGATTTAGCTGTTTAGGTATGAGGTTGTTTTTTTTTGCTCACAGATGGAGTGATTTTTTTTATACAATGGCTACACCTGAAAATATTTTTTTTTCTGCATAGGTGCTGTTTCTAGGCTGTGACTTGATGTTTTTCTTCTTTTACTTTTAGTATCTAAAGTTGCTAATCGTTAGTTCTGGTCACATTGTCTCTCTATTGATTTCAGTTGGAAATTTGCATCCGTGGCAGTTATTTGAGAAATGATGCTGACAATGTAGCTAAATCAAACAAACGGCACATATATGATAATTTCAAATTTATAAAGATAACAAGTCTTCTCTAACTGATCGATTGTTCTTGCTATTTTTCAAATAGAGACCAGGAAGAGTCCAAAGGTACATCAAACGAGGCTGAGGCAAGCTCCTCTCGTCAGGTTGATGAAGAAGAAGATGATCTCTTCTGGAATGTGGATGACATCCCAGGTAGTTAAAGTTCGAAAATCTAAACATGGTATCCTGGTGCCATATTTTTTAAACCTCAGATATTATTATTAATATAGTGGACGCAAAGAATAGCTTGGACAACTCGGTTGGTGGAGATTCATGTCCAAGTCAGTTTGTTAAGCCTCCAGCAAATTTAGTTGTTCTTGAAGGTGACTGCTTGGATACTAGTGGTGACGGAGGAGAACTGGAATCCTATCTGGTAATTGCCTGTTCCTCCACTTCTCTAATAATAACAAGAGTCTGTGTTTGAGCTACTTCTTAACTTTCATGTCTTGCAGTTGGCAACTACACATCTCTACCGGGATTTTATTCTATTAGACCCATGTGATTCTGTAGCGGTAAATGATTTCTTAGGTGATAACTATGCTGGTAAAGGAAGGAACAGTTCTCGCAGAGGCAGCTCAGCTCGTAAAAGTTTTCTCTCACCTGTAGGTCGTTCTGGAGGAAGTGCTCGTAGAAGATCATCTGTGGGAAAGAATCTTCGCACTAATTTCAACCTGTCACCAGTACGTGGAAGTGCTCCCGATGCTCAAAACTGTGACCAAGAGTCTCAGCCTCCTCCTCCTCCTCCCTTTGAAGACAATGATCATGGCTTTGACATGGATAATGACCATGGAGGAACCATGGATTTGAGTGATACTGATGCTGATGAAGATGATCCGTGGAAGCCACTGAATCCCTATGAACCAGGGAAGTTGAAAGTGAAGCCTTTTAAAAAAGGTTCGAAATGTCTTTTCTTTTCTTGACTGATGTCTGATGATGATCTGCGCTTTACTTCTAGCTCATGTTATACTTTTTTTGAATTGAGCAGTAAAAAATATGTGGAAGTTTGGAGCTAGTCTTACCAAGGATCCTATTACGTCCATGTTTCCACTTGCTAGACCCAACGGTCCCATCAGTACAGAGCTCAGCGGAATTTGGGAGAAGTGCCGTCCTTCTAGTAACAGTGAGAGAGAACCACAAGACATTCCCTATTACGAGAAGGTTTGATTTCTCTATAGCGTTACCTGATTTTTAATGAAGAAAAAACTGATGGTTTTGCTTTCAGCTTCGAGCAATGCTTGTGAATGGAGGAAACCAAGCTACTGATGCTAACGGCAATCAGAATGATGGCGTTAAGGATAACAATGATGAAGCTAATAATGGCGACTTCCATGATTTTGGAGCGCATGATGGTGATGATCATGAACCTGCGTTCATGGATGAAGATGGTCCCAACATGGTGAGTTGTTCACTAATTTGAACACTTTACAGTGAAATTATATGCAACCCTTATCCGTTCTTTTGGATTCATGCAGAATGATGGTGGAGCTGCAGATTTTCCCAACCACGATGGGTTTGGAAACGACGACTCATATTGTCAAGAAAGCTTGGAAGATCTTTGTCGCTCACACCTGGTAACTACATTAGATGTTCTAGTTCTCATCTACGTATGCCAACTTTTAATAGACAGAGTTGGTGTGTGTTTTTCATCCATTTTCCTATGGAAGCTCAAATGATCTGTATGTGTGTAGGATGCTCTTCTTGCTAACATAGCTAAAAGTGAGAAGCAAACGGATCTAGCTGCTCGGGTTTCAACGTGGAAACAGAAAATCGAGCAAAACCTAGAAGAACAAGTAATATCTTTCTTCTACTTTCTCTGACCATTCACGTGAAGTCAGAGATCTGATGCATTTTCTACATTGTCTGTTCTTTTCATTCAATGATCAGGAGCTACACCCTCCTTTTGACATTCAAGAATATGGAGAAAGGATTGTCAACAAACTGACTGTTGAAAAGAGCCGAGACATTGAGACCTTTACTGATCTCGTGAAAGACCAAGAAAAGCACGATGTAGCCCGTGCTTTCTCTGCGCTTCTTCAGTTGGTAAGTCAAAGAGCAAAACATTTTTCTGTTTGTTCACTAAAACAAAAAAAATCATCATTAGAGTAAATGTTATGTCCAGGTGAACAATGGAGAGGTTGAACTGGAAAAACCTGGGAACTCGGTGGGCGAACCAGTATGTTATACAGCGGTGAATCCTTTCAGCGTTTGGTTACTCAGTAATCGTTACAGAAAGACTGAGAAAAATGCAATGCATTTACCCCGGAAACGAGAAAAATCCCCAACAGCCAGAGGCAAATCTCCAGAGTCACCACCACCAAAGAAGGCAAACACATGTTCTGCCTCAAGCCAAGAGACTAGGAAAGTCCCGTTAAAGATCTCAAAGATCAACACTGTCGGCACTAAGTGCACACGAATGAGCAAGAAGAGATGAGGTCGTAGGCGAGGTAACTGAAGTTTTCTTAAATTGTAAAGCTAATATGGCTAATGACTCCACAAGTTAGATTATAGTGATATTTATCAGACAGTTAGGAAACTCTGTAACTGTCAGTTATGTATAATCAGGCATTGTCTGAAAGATGTAACAGAATATGCAGTTGTAATAACAATCCAATTACTTTTTTGATGATCTTTTTAACATTTTACAGAGGTTGATTCTGGAATTTTTAAAAAGAATTTGGATTGTAGTTGATAAATTGAAGTTCTTTTTATCTCAAGGGAATAAGAATCAGGTTCAAAATTGTTCATAGATCTCTTTATGTATTTAGATGCCTTGTTCTATCAATTTCAACTTGTTTGTAACTCAAGTTGTATCAGTTCAATTTATTGGTCTATTTATGTTCGTGTTTTATTATGAAATATTTTTAAAGACGAAACATATATACTGCCAAATTTATAAAAAGAGAATAAAACAGTAAACGTTCTATATAAAGCCAGAACAAAAAGGCAAAGAAAAGTAGTACTAGATCAGTCTGTGACTGTATCTACATGTAAATTCCTTGTTTTCAACACTGGTTTTGGACTTTTTGGTCGCAACAAAGACTTTGGCGTCATCTAATTGACAATGGAAAGTTCCTGGAAATTGTATTCTCGTGATACTTTTTATGTCATCTACTTGTATGAGTGAACATATACATGTACCTCTAAATTGCCCCATCATTTACGTTTCTATTGTAGTTGCTTTACCAACCTTTGATTAGTTGTTTAATTGTGTTTTTAGCCTCCAAATTATTTTATATCAAACACTAATAATTTACGCTTACTTATTAACGCCAATCATCGACATCAAATACGTTCTTTAAGTACTTTCATTTGAAAAAAATGATGATTGGATTTGGTCCTTTGTATGTAGTGCGAGTTGTTATTTTCAATTGAACAAATATATATGATGATTGGAGTTGGAGAGTTAGTGCAAGTTGTTACTCCATATTTGTTGGGAAACATATAAATTAATTAAATACCCCCACTATGTGGTGTGGTTAGGAGGCATAAGAGACTTGGTCCACTTACGCGTAGAAACCATGAGTCATATTTCAATATATAGTTTACAAATCTGAAACCAATACATTGACGATGCCCTTTTTTCTAAGGGGTTTTCTTCGAAGGAAAACGAAAAATAATAAATTTTGTTTGAAGTAAACTAACTGGTGTCAAGACTCGAAAGTCATAGTCGTGTTGAGCATATAGTTCTGATTCTGCGTGTCACTTAACGTGTCAAGACTCTCTTTGTACATGGATTAGATCGTTGAAAACTAATTGCTTGCATGTTCATAATAACTCTATATATATTACTTTCGTGCGAGGAGATAAAATAAGAATCTAATTCCACCACATATTACGTTTTTATTGATTGAAGCTTGTGAGATAGTAGGTCTCTGGTTATATGTAAAGAAACGCAACGAATACAAACACGCATAGACAAAAAGGGTATAGTAATCACTAATCATATTACAAAAAGTTAAAAGCTATCATGTATATGCAGAAACATTAACACTTTCACAGAGACACATTTTTGTAGTGAAAATAGCCTATCATAGAGTATTAATATGAGAACCATGGCTTTGATTGTTCAAAAGCTGCATTTACATTTACGATTGATTAAAGACATTGAATTGGTGACAAATCAAATGATGTGAAGTCTCTATCATGATTTCATGACCATTGAATTGGTATTACATAAAAAGTCTATAGAGATGGGAGTAAACTAAAGGGTGATTTTGTTCAATAACCATAAGAGTTCAGAATATTAAGAATCTAACCACTAAATAGTTGATGTGACAATTAGAACCAAATCTTGACATTTTTATCCTTCACTTGCGTGCGCGTGAATATATGCGCGTCATATTTTCTAAGGAACATGATTAAAGTATACTATACCACAAACCATATAACATAGTCAGACGAGGCCGCACGTTTTACCCATCGCCAAGGATTAAAGTTAGGCATTTTTTTATTGGCGATGTATAAAGACCCTTTTGCTTCCATCGTGTTTGGATATTGTTGACTTCATTCTAAACTATAAGTAATTTAGTATATAATGGANGTCAGACGAGGCCGCACGTTTTACCCATCGCCAAGGATTAAAGTTAGGCATTTTTTTATTGGCGATGTATAAAGACCCTTTTGCTTCCATCGTGTTTGGATATTGTTGACTTCATTCTAAACTATAAGTAATTTAGTATATAATGGACAATTCAATTAACTCAAGGTATATGCACAGACATCATTAACCGTGAATGAGATGTTCTTGTCTGACCCCATGAGCAACACTATACTATAATATATATATGATGTAGTATAAGCACAAGGAAACACAAAAGACACCAGAAGCACATGTGCTTGTGGGCGCCAAAGTGAACTCCAATACAAAGAGAGGGAGAGGGAGAGGGAGAGGGGGAAGGGGAGGGATTGAGGGAGAGGGAGAAGGAGAGGTGGTTAGCAAGCAATGAAAATGTTTGAAATGGGTTGACGTAACTGCATATACGGTATACATACAATACTATACTATTATATACGGTGCATAGTATAATATCAATATAACATCCAAGCAGTATGGGTTGACGTAACTGCATATTGTGAATTTACATACTATACTATTGTATACAAGTACTAGTATAGAAAATATAACATCTTACCTCACAAATCACCTACAAAATTACATTCTATTTACAAAAGAACAATCAAGCATAGAGTCTATCAGATATGAAACTGTGTTCGTTGTTGGTAGGTAAAACTGTGTTGATTATTGGTAGGTAAAATATAGGAGAGGGAGGGAGACATGGACAGGGACTTGGACATGGACATAGAGAGGGAGAGGGAGAGGGAGAGGGAGAGGGAAAGGGAGATGGAGAGGGACAGGGGGAAGGGAACGAGGAGAGCGAGAGGAGGAGGGGGAGGGGAACGGGTAGAG